CCCCAGGGGTAGCCGAGTGGCCACCGGTGTTGCATTTGCTCTGGCCAACCGAATAACATCCTCTTCGTGCGTTCGGCTTCAGCAGGTGTTTGTCCGAGGAGGGGTGTTGCTGATCGTGGCAGACTCGCCACAACGAGCGCTCATTCTATACTGCAAGCATCCCAACGGCTTCCACCTTGCATCCGTGCCCTTACTGCCTCGTGGGGCAATTTGGAGACGACGGTGGAGAGTTGGGGTCACCAAAGTATGACATAGAATCGTATCGGAGAACGAGAGGACAGATTTTGAGGAGGAGACGTACTCTTGCTGAGTTGGCCCCCACGCCAGCGGCCCAAGCGACCGCCTCAAAGGAACTCGGTGTGGCGGTTCCAGTACCGGAACAACCAATATGGCCACTGCACGACATCGTCAAGATCGATGCGCTCAAGGCAACCCCAGTCGAAAGCCTGCATGCGGATGCCTTGGTAAGTTCGGGTAATTGAGAGTGTATATACATATATTATTATATCATCGGGCGATACCACACCTGGGCTAAAAACCCTCATGAGAACAAAATGACGTCGCCGCGTGGAGAAAAAAGGCATTCGGGAGTCGCGTTCGCGCGATGTCGCCGTGGAGGAAGCGAGTGCATGGAAAGGGTGATGAGGGCCGTGGCTTAACGTACCTACGTGATTATGTTCGTGCGAGAGATTATTATGTATTTTTTTGTCTGATGTCTACTTGTGCTCCGTCGTAATAATATTTGGCATGCACATTCCTCCTCTGTTTTCTTTAACGTGTGTGTCATCGTTTTGCGCGACGTAGAACGTCCAGTCCCTCGTTCAGAGTTTCATCCTGACGAGATTGAATCCGGCGGGCGGGAAACTCGTGTCCGCCATCATCAGGGAGCACGGTCACGCTTTGTATCCACCACGCGAGGCACCACTAAAGGATATCGTCACCAACTACTCTTCCCTGACGGGCAGCAATAAGTGGCTGTTGTCCTCCATCATGCTGCTTGTCTTTCGACCGGTTCTTCAAAGCTCGTGGTCCATGGTGAGACCGCGTGTGTGCTCAGAAGACCTGATTAGGTTATTAAGGTCGTCGCCCTTCCATGAGAAATAGAATATATATAATAGTCTGCTACGCCACCACTTCATCCGCTTCTTTTACGTTCCGCGTGCAAATTGAAATTCTTCTTTGTCTCGGCTCTCTTTCTCTCTCTAACTACCCCTTCTATCTCTCTGCCCACCCACAACAGGCGAAATACTTTAAACAGGACTTCATGAAGACTCTGGTCTCAGAGTGGAGAGGGCAAAACGCCGCGTGGGAGGGAATGCTGACGCTCGCGCAATCCGCATCTGCGTTGTCGTTTGCAGTTCGAGCGCCTTCCCACAACGATGAGGAACTAAAACAGCTACACACGCATGCGCTAGATATGGTGAGATAAGACGAGACGTGGCTTCATGTATTAACGAATGGTCCGTGAGTGTGGGCATATTACCCACATATCCCCTCTTCGACGTATGATTACTCCGTTATTTTTTTCGTAAACTAACCTCACATGCTCAAATATTGCTTGTGGGACATAAATTTTCTTGACGGGTGTAGTCTGCACAACGCCAAGACCCTTGAAGCCTCATCGTGGCCTCCCTCGTTTGGGATGCCGTTCAGGTGTGGTACCTTTACACTGCCCCCGACGCCCCCTCTCTTTCGATGTCTTGTAATTTAATTTTCTTGCGCATCTATAGGTACACACGGCGAAGCAAGTTATCGGGAGGGACGGCGTGAGACCTTCAATGCACAGCATCCTCCACTACTCGGGTACTCGGATGCTGTGAATAACCACGGTGAGTTTGTGGGATTTTTACTTCTACATGGAGGCGTCACCGTAACGTCTGCATGTACGGGCGAACGTCCCTCGAAATAAGTACGTCGTGTAGCACTGTACATCTTTTGTGCCAACACCATGAAAAAGGTCTCATTATATTTTCCATACCCAATTGCCTCCTTCTTTTCTGCCGACGCGTCAGGACATATGCCCAACGCCTCTAGCGGGGAATTCGCCCACCAGAAACACAAGAGGGGAAACAAATCTAGCAGCGGGAGAGACGTCCCAGCGCACTATATGCGTCACATGAATACCATGTGCGCATGGCATGCCATGGCGAACGGCCTACCATACTCTGTGATGAAGTACAACCGCTCGACAAAAAATCGAGAGGAGGTCACCGTTCGCCCCGGAGTTGGCTGTATCCGAGTCGTACAACAGTTGATGAAAGAGCTTCCGGGAGGACTGCCGGGAGGACTAGGGGACCCAAGCGACCTTTCGGCTGCATCGGAGCCAACTACATCAATGTTAGCAGGCTCCCATCAGGGTTCGGCACTTTGGGAGGCAACTCTTCTTGCTGAGGCCGGACAACCAACGAATTGCGCAGGGTCTTGGCAGGAGGTCGTATCTACGGGACGCTTTCGTCCAGGCCGTGCAGAGGTGGTCACGGCGTACAAAACCTACTACGGATGCGGGCGGCGGTCTCGACCAGAGCGTTGCGTAGACAGTCGCTGTCCCTTCTGTTGGACGAACCCACTAACGCTGGACAGCGACACAGCCTCGTGTTCTAGATTCAATCACACCGCCTCTGCGAGGAGCAGCAGCGGCAGCGAGCGTTGGAAAGGGGGGGACGCGCGAGCAGCAGCTTCCCCCAACCCACCGGACGAGTGGGTTTTCGGGGCGGGGTCTGGCGAGGATGTGGAGGTCCACAAGGGGAAGCCCCCGTACGACGACCACCCCGATGTATCCACTCTGACTATGGTAAAGATCGTCTGCTTTTTCCGACATGTTGGAAACAGAGACATCAAAGGATTCCACCGCCCGTCGACGGACTTCGTCTTAGGGTTCGAGTATGTTTCGGCCGGCGCTGGAAATAAACGCCGACCGGACGGGGTGACACAGCATCCTACCATGCTGCTACACGGGAGGGGGCGTCCATCGGTCTGGCCTGTGTCAGATATCAGGCGACACGTACACCTGTACCACCTGTGTCCCGTAGCAGTCGACTCGGACGGCAAGGAAGTCGATGAGCAGGGCAAGGAGGTACGCGCCTCATCGAGGCGGACATGCTCCATTACCCCATCATCGACAGGCGGTGGCCAAGTTTGGAGACACACATACAAGTTGTCTGACCCGTTGTCGACCGAGTACGACAAGTATCTTTTGAACGAGCACCATCACAGCATCTTCCAAGATACGTTCACCTGACAGCAGCGACGTAAGGTGGGAGTTTTGTCATGACGCATCTGCCCTCTCTCTGCTGTACATTTGCACCACTCCCAAAACTAGCGCCTGGTGACGAGACCTTGTACTCTATTCCGATCTGTTTCGTCTGTATGGGTATATGTATACGTCTTACTCCTTTAAAATCGACGCCTCCTTCCCCATCACAAGCTCGTCCCGACTAACAAACAAACAACACGACCATCGCGGCTAATATGTACAGCATCCTCTGTCGACTTCGGTACTGTATAACCCCCCGCCCCCCTCTGCCACTGTGTGTCTCTCTCCCCCGCGAAGCCGTCGTGTCGAAGGGCGTGCTCCTCTCGTTAACGACAGCCAGCCCCCTTCGCGCGTACTGGATGGATGTCGCCCTGGACATATGTGGTTCGGTGTCACGCGTGAGAGGAAGGGAGCTCCATCAAGGACGCCAAGTACATCATGACATCACGACGAGATGGGGGTGGGGGGGGTGGTGATAGGTGCGCACGACGAGAGGCACATTGGTTCGGATTTGCACGAGTAGCTATAAGCACCATCATCATCGTTGTTGGCGTTGCGTGCACACCTATTTCGTTATTTTTCGTCCCTATGCGAGAAAGCTCCTTGTCGTGTTATCGTAGGTGTCTGAGTGACCCAAAAATCTAAGGGATCATAAAAAAAGCCTATTGTAGGGCTTGGAGAACGCTCAGTGCATAGCTGGATTTGTATTGTTTGCGTTACCTTCTTTGTCGAACTTAACACAGTTCGTGGAACTACAATGTTGGAAAGATCTATCCTATGGATGGATGCATTATATATACATATATGAAGCAACGATGATGCTGATGATAGCACCGTGGCCGCGCGCTATAATATATATATATATATACTCTCGTTCGAGAGCACACTTACATCATACACCAGTTACTACGAGTGGGGCAGCAATTTCGCCTCTGTGTGACGTGCTGCCTCCTCGCCTCTCCCCGCATCTACGCATACTAGGTAGAGAGGGCCCCAACTTCATCAATCGGTCGTTATCGAACCCCTAACCCTCAAAATCACCGTACAGGGGTGGGGCAGGGGGGGGAGCCCCGGGGGGAGAGGGGGGGGGGGGGGGGGGGAAAAGGGGCCCCAAGAATCCTTTTTTAACCCCTGTGCCAACC